ATAACTCAAAGGAAATCCCTACTTATTAAATATTACCATTTACATCCTACTATGTCAAAAGTTATGGTATAATCTTTAATAACACACTTTTAACCATAACAGATATAACCTTTCAACAAAAACTAATTTAATCCACTAAATTAATAAGTTTATTATATTAAAAAAATTTCAAATTAATAATACCAAACCTAACTTCACATGCCTCATCCCTTAAACATAACTATATTTCAACATAACCATTTTTCATGCCAAGATATTTAAAGAGGTAACATTTTTACTAAATTTTCTGCCAATAACAATTTCACAACTTTTTCTAAAATTATTTAACCAACATGATATTTACATCAAAAATTATGAAATATGCCCAAGAATAACATTTTTAAGGTTATGAGTTCGAAAGTCCACATTTCACATTTTTATTTTTATAAAAATGAGAACAACTTAATCATCAACAAATCATCTTTTATAAAATATCATGAATATAACACTTTTAGAGTTTTTAATCTCAAAACAACTCTATAATTCCTACTTAAGCATTTACTCCATATTCCTCAATATTAATTTATTTTTTTCAAAAATAAATTCCAAATCAAAGATAAAAAAAATTCAACTTTATATTTCTTAAAATAAATCATCTAATCATAACATGATGTAGACACAATACATACAACTATTAAATTTTATTTTCAGATTTTTTTGCAAATTTATCAACACAAAATGATTTTTCCAAATCAATCTCAAAATGCCAATATTTTTAACATTTCAACATAATTTTTCTTCCAAAAATTACCAAACAATAATCTAAAAATATATATATATATGCAATACCTCTTATAATGATATATTTTCTCAAAATAACTCTAACATAGCCTTAATGTAATAACATGAAGAAAGTCTCTACCTCAATTTCAAATTCTGCTATAAATTAAACTGAACACCAATCAGTCTGTGAATTTTCATAAAATAAATACTCATCATATAATTTTGAAATGTTTATCCAACGTGCTAGACTCATATGGGAACAACATATAAAAATTTCATAATTTTTTGAGATCGGGAATTATTTTAAAAAAATACAAAACCAAACTATTTTCGCATAGAATTTACACAACAATCAAATTTGAAAAATTTGCTCAATTAAATTATGCACTGGCTATTTAAAAAAAAAGATTTTGGGTCATTACACTCACTTTATGAGACAATTCTCATTCACAACTCAATGGTTTCAGCTTATTATTTTTGTATTGCAATCTTCTCACTTAAGACAATACAAAACTACTTAGACCCACATCAACTGGATGTTGGGTCCCACTTTAATTTCAAATTAAAGTTGCTAAAAAATCATTATTATTTTCCAACAAATCTAACAATACATCTATAAGTACAACAATCAGTACAAAAAATATATATAATAAAAATAAATAATTCAATATAAAAAATGACTCTCATAATTAAGGATAGTTAATCATCTTGTTTAGTTGAGTTTTTAGATTTTTTTTTCTTAAAAATAAAAATTATTTTCACCACAAAAATAGAAAGGCATAAAAACTTTTTTTGGAATTTCTATTTTTTATTTATTTATACCAAACTAGATTTGAATTAAAAGAAAAAAATAAAGAAAATTTAAAATTCAACCAAACAATCTGAATAAATCTTCAGGCCAAGTTTGGCATCCTTCAAAAAATTCAAAAAGTCAAAAAGTCATTATCCTATTTAAGTCACATCATCTTATTTAAGTCACATCACCTCTCTAACACATCACTTCAAACCCAACCCAAATCCAACCCATATTTCATAAAAAGTCAAAAAGTGCACTTATTTAGTCTTTCCAAACTTATTTTAATGTTACTCACTTATTAATTTTTTATTTTTTTTTCAAATTGATCCACTTATTTGTCAATTAGCACTGCAAAAAATAATAAACTAAATAGCGTAATTAATTGTGTTACATTCACAGTCAGCCGACTTGGCCCGTTAAATAATAAAACACTTTCTTTTATCTATATCTATATCTATCTATATATTATATAAGAAAAAAGATATTTTTTGTGACACCTCGAACGTTTAATTAAGTACCACATAAATATTTAGAGTTATATATAATTATGGTTGCATATGATGATAGACTATTAAATAAATATATATATAAATCTAATTTGGCATTGGATTATCAAATATAGGATTAATTAGAAATTATTTGGGGGCAAATTAACACATTCATGGAATTATAATACTAGTTGGGTCAAATTAAAGTTAAAAATAGTAAATAAATAATAATATGGAATAATAATAGTAATCTGTAAAGTAAAATAAAATAATTAATTTTACAATGCTAAATGATAAGATGCAATTTAATTTACATTAGGAACTTTGAAAAACTTAACACCAAAACAAATAAATAAATGAATAAAAAGAAAAGAAAAAGAAAATTTATAAGCTAATTGACCCAACAATGCTTTGTGAATTTCGGCCCAAGCAAAAAAAAAAAAAAAGGCCCAAGTATGTATATTCATTAAGAAGATTTATACTTATCTATAAAGATTCAAATCTCATATTTGAATCTACAATTAAGAACTCAATCTTCTAGCATCATGATGGCCTTTACGTGTCATTCACTTCAGGGCTCGGTTAGCAGTATATAAGGGACAAGGGTGCTGTGAATTAAGAGAGGAAAAAACGAAAGTAAAAAAGCAAGAGTGAAAAACCGAGAGAGAGGTACGTAAGTTGAGAGTAAGAAACTTATAGTAGGGAAGTTCTGATAGTAAAGTAAGGCTAATAGTTATAATTAAGGTGAGTTATATTATACATTAATTTACCATTATATGTTTTACGAATGTTTTGAGTTACCATAGCTTATTTTATACAAGCTATATTTTATTAAGTTATATAAATAAAAGTTATGTTTTATAAATATTTCAGTTACGTGGGTTACTTTCTAAACTCTATTTACTTAAAAGGAAACACATGGATATGTTTGTTTAAATTTTAGAATATATTTGACTATAACCTTATAAACAATTATGTTTTGTAAGTATCACCACGGAAGTCCCACGCCTTGGGGGACTTAAATACCCATGAGCCTCTGTTTGGCCACTTTGTGGTCCTCTGTTTGTCATGGATCCATTGACCTCTGTTCTGATTGTCATTTCTGTGACCTCTGTTCTGTTCTGTTTTATACCGTAGTTATGATTATTTATTTCTGACTATCACATCTGTGACCTCTGCTTTGTTCTGTTTTATACCATAGTTATGATTATTTATTTACATAATTTCTGTATTCTGCCACTTTAAATAAATTGTCATTTTAAATTAAATTATGCAAATTTTTTAGCCTAACTATTTATCCATGGTTATTTTGTATTCCCTACACTCTTGGCATAATATTTCTCACTCTGCTGTGTGCTTATAGCTGTTACCCTTTCAGGTGACGAGATATAGGGGAATCCATAACTCCACAAAATGGAACCTGCATATGGATTGATGTTGAATCACTATTTTATCTTTCTTTTTTTTTTATATTTTTGCTCCCTTTTGTTTCTATTCAGGACTGATCACTGAATAATGAAATAATGAAAGCCCTAGAAATGTATTTCATCTTTCTTAAATAGTAAAATGAAGTAAAATTTCTATTTAATTATTTTTATTTTCGATTGCGCAGCTTAATTTGCTTCGAATAAGAATAAGTTAGTAAGTTGCGATTCCAACCCTAAGCCCCTGGAGTTCGGTCGTGACAAAGGTAGTATCAGAGCAACGATTCAAAAAAATATATATTTTTTAATTTGACCAGGAAGTTTAAAAAGTTATAAATAAATTTATAAATAAAACTATATAGCTAAGAAAAATATAGTAAAATAAAAATAAAATAAAATAATAATAAATATTTACCTGCACCGTTAGTCTTTCTGTGTAAAATCTCACGTTTATTCTAGTGTTGTAGGGATGTCAGAGATTTATCTTGATGATGCTTTTTGGAATGACCTCCAGGCCATCAATTTAGATGAAATCTTAGCCGAACACCCCGCCCCCGCCTCACCTGAGGGTTGGGGAGATTCCGAGGAAATAGTCAGGGGATTGCACCTAGGCCTTGGCCGGTTGATAGGTCGGCCAATTTATATCCAGGTTGACCCTACCGACGTCCCACACTTATTATGGAGGCACAACCTTGTCCATACGCGCAGACGTTTTCTTGGACCATCTCGCGTCCTTGGCGTCTCCCCGGCTCACGACCGCCCGCATTATATTATAGGCCCTCTACCCCTAGAGTTTGCAGCCAGGAGGGGGAACGTGTACCCCGAGGATTATATTTTCACCACAGTCCCTAACCCACCGGAGATCATTAATATTCAAAATGCTGACTTTGATAATGACCTGTCATATGTTGAGACACCTGGCTGGATTGTCGACCGAGCATTTGTGAGTCATATACGGTCTATCCCCATTTTCACGGTCCAGGTAGCATGGATGTGTTTTGGTGTAGTCCAGTTGGGGTGGGAGTTTGAGCTTTTTATGCAGCACTATTTCCCCTGGTTTTTCGGCGCATCTGACCCACCACTCTAGATCTGGGTAGTAGAAAATCTTTTGTATGCTGATCTTGATGTGTTCTAATCCCTTTTTGTTGACTTTTGTTTTTGTTTACCATAGGGATGGGACACTAACATATTCTGACTAATGCAATATGAATTGTAAAAAAATAAAAATAAAAAATGTGTAATGTTGGCAGTTCATATAAATATAAATTGTGCTACATATATATATATGCTGCGTTGAGAATATAATGCCTCATTTATTACTTGTAGAATGGCTAATAATGGTAATAGAAGTAAGTCATCAGTTAGTGGCACTGAATCGATGGAAAGAGTAATGGAAATAGCGGTTACTAGCTTTTTGCAAGCCTTGCAAACTAGCATCAACAATGGGACGCCAGAACGGCGAGAAGAGCCGGTTACATAAAACAGTTCCAAGATCTGAAACCCACCACATTTACCGGCGGCTCAGACCCAATGGTAGTAGACGCTTGGGTTAAAGACATGGAAAAGATTTTTCGTGCCCTACCCTGCACCAAGAGACAAAAGGTAACTTTCGCCACTTTCACTTTCAAAGACAATGCACAGGAATTGTGGCTTCTCACTCTGGCCAAAGAAGAAATTACGACTTGGGCAAGATTTTTGGAAGTATTCTACGAAAAATACTTTCCAGATTCATTGCGGGAACAGAAGGCATCCGAATTCATACATCTTAAGCAAAGAACCATGACGGTGGCCGAATATGAGAGCAAGTTCACACAACTCGCTCGGTTTGCAACATACGTCATCCCCAATGAAACTCGAAAAGCAAGAAAATTTGAAGCAGGATTGGATGCTGGAATTAAGGACAGACTTGAGGTCTTGAAATTACTAACCTATGCAGAAGTGGTGGACCGAGCGTACATAGCAGAAAGGGGAATTAAAGCCTCACGTTCCGGAGAACCAAGCTACAAGAAGCGATTCTAGGAAAGGGATAACAGAAGACCTGGTGTTGCACCTCAAAAAAAGATGAATATGGGCACAACCAGCTCAGGCCATCAAGGTCCTACCAACCCCCGATGTGGCACTATTCCAAATTGCCCCACTTGTGGAAGGACTCGTTGGGGACAATGCCATCAAAACACGAGAGCATGTTTTAGATGCGGACAGTTTGGCCACTTGCTAAGGGATTGCCCAAAGATGGTTAACCCTACAGCCAACCCCTCTAGCCCAGTCAGGAGACCCACGAGACCTGGAGGAGAAAAGAAGGATCAAAACTGCCAAGGTCGGGCTTTCTCCTTGGTACCTGGCAAACCAGAAGTTACCGAAAATGTGGTGTTAGGTACACTTTCTGTCTGTGGTCTTTTAGCTCATGTCCTTATTGACTCTAGGTCAACTCATTCTTTTGTTGCACCACACTTTGCTGCTAAGTTGACATCAACACCCGAACCATTAGGATATACATTGTCTGTGTCTTTTCCTTCTGGTAAGTCTGTCTGTAGTATTGATGTGTACAGATCTTGTGTTGTATTCCTAAAAGGCAAAACCTTATATGTAGACTTGATTCCCCTCCGCATTGGAAACTTTGATGTAATCTTAGGTATGGATTGGCTGGCTGCCAACCACGTACGCCTCTATTGATTGTAAAGCTAAAAAGGTCTCTCTTAGGTTACCAAACCAACTCGAACTTGTCTTTGATGGGGCTGAAGTTTCTAACCCTTCCTGTATTATATCTTCCATGGCGGCCCAACGACTTCTAAAAAAGGGTTGTGGTAGTTATATTTGTTATGTGATTGATACACAAAAAAAGGCCCCCACCGTTGATACAATCCTGTAGTTCGAGAATTCTCGGATGTCTTTCTTGAAGATCTACCCGGTATTCCAGTTGATCGGGAGATCGAATTCACCATTGAAATCCAACCTGGCACGCAGCCTATATAAAAAAATCCTTATCGCATGTCGATGGCAGAATTGAAAGAGCTGAAGACTCAGCTCCAGGAACTCTTGGACAAAGGTTTCATTCGGCCTAATACCTCACCCTAGGGAGCTCCAATATTGTTCGTGAAGAAAAATGATGGCACGATGAGATTATGCATCGATTACCGGGAACTGAATAAGGTTACCATCAAGAATCGATATCCTCTGCTGTGAATTGATGACTTGTTCGATCAATTTCAAGGCGCACAAGTATTCTTCAAAATTGACTTATGTTCTGGCTACCTGTAACAACCCTCACCACTGATCACTGATTGACCACTGATTACTGCTAAACTGAGATTAAGCATGTTAATTGACTGACTGACTGAAATCTAGAACTGATTGAATATTCTGAACTGACTGATTGATTGAGTATACGCGTTTAAGTATATTTCTATCTGTTCGTTTGGTAAATTATCTATTCAGGTTTTATGTTTAAACTGTGAATTGAAGGCCTTATCGGCGGCCGAACCAGAAATTGATTGATGTTTCATGATCATTAGAATTTATATGATTTTATAGCATATTTATCTGAAATGTGATTTGGTATGATTAAACTAGATTAATTTAAGCCAAATTGAAAAAGTTGGACTTATTTACCTTAGTGCCATCTAGTGGGCCACTTGTATTACACCTTGAGTTTTATTACATTACAACAAAACGTTTCATCAGCCTATTTTTCCTTGAGAGCAACCGACTAGAGAGAGAGAGAGAGTCTTGAGAGAAGATTGTTCAATTGAGAATTGGCTAGAGAACTTGAAGAAATTGTAGAGGATTTGTGCAAATTGAGTTTCTACACTTGAATACAAGACTTAAGGTAGAGTAATTACCTTCTTGATTGTGTATTTGAGTTGATTCTTGCATGGTTCATGAGGCTCTAGTGATTTAAGCCTAGAATTGGTCCTTATATGTTGAATTGAAGCTCATTCCATGCATGCATGCTTATATCCTAGCATTTTGAGGTTCACTACATGGAATTTGGTACATGTATGTTCATATTATTGGTATAGTCCATGATTTCATCATGTTTTGGAAAGAATTGGCTCAATTGAACTAGCTTTTGAAGCTTTAAAGTTGTTGAATTCATGCATGTTACACATTCATCATGTTCTTGAAAGTTTGGTTTGAAATTGGGCTTAATTCCCTCACCTTTGGGCCTTGATTTTACAAATTGAGCTTTAAATCATGTCATACTATGTATTTACAAGTGTTTTCCAGGAAATGGGCCCAAAGGAATCGAATTTGTTACATTTGAAGTTGAATTTGAGCTTGAGGTTCAAATCTGGGAATTCTAGATTTTGAACTCACGCTCGAGCGAGGTGACTGGCGCTCGAGCGTGAAATTCGTGCTCCCAGCACTTTACACTGTTTTGAAGTCTGCTCGAGCGCGGTAATTTATGATTGAGCGGTAACTTGTGTCTTACGCTCGAGCGGGTGTCGAGCGCCCAATCGAGCGTGAATTTCACCTATCCAGCACTTTTGATTGTTTTGCAGTACGCTCGAGCGGGTAAGTCTGCGCTCGAGCGGAAACCTTTGTCTGCATATCTGCTCGAGCGGAGTAATCGACGCTCGAGCGTGACCCCTGTTTTCTGAAACTTCTGAAAATGTTTTTAGAGTGCATCTTTGCATCCTCATTCCATTCTAGGCATTCCTAAGCCTAGTTTAAAGCATCTTAATGAGGATATAGATGTAGAACCGCACCGAGTCAAGATAGAGATTAAGTTATACTTTCTCGAATGTGAACTTAGTGTGTGTTCATCCTGTAAACTGTGTAGGGTTTGCATCTGAGGGCGCGCTCTAGCTCAACTGTAGCCCAGAACTCTGTGAGTAACAATTGTGTAAAGATATGTTCAAATATGATTATCTTCTGAGTAATTGAACTGTACTGTTTTCTAAAATGATACTGTTATTAAATGAATGATGTCCTAATTGTGAACTGTATTGTGGCATCCTTAGCAACTACTGTTACTGTTACTGTTACTGCTATTGTTACAGAGATCTCTGTCGGTTCCCATGTTGGAAACACTACTGTTTACTGATATGATGGCCATCATTGACTGTTCGGTCTCTTAAGACCTACCGTTTACTGTACTGCTATGCTAATGGATGTACCACATATGACTGTAATGGCTGAATAACTGACATACTGATTGAAATGATTGTTTTCAATACTGTAAGGACATTCATTCTTAACCTCTTTACGCATTATGTTATTCACTGGGCTTTAGCTCACTGTTTATATATATATGTAGTTGTACAGGCACCAGACCGGAGCTAGGAGCGTGGGTTAGACTCCCTTTTTGTCAAGCCAACCACTGTGCCTCACTGTGAGGTTCCGAGCCTGCCAAGCTATGGCTTAGGGGTGTTTTAATTTCCCCCGTCTGTCTCTATATCTGTTTTGTAATAACTGTATAGACTAATAGCACTGTACTGTACTGTCTAACAGGGATTAGGTCCCTGTTCTGATCGACTGTAAATGTTGTACATACTGTTCTATACTGTTTATGTATATACGTATGAAAAGTCTTTTTGCATACAGACTGTCACAGCTCATTGGACATTTTTCATTTACTGTTTGGCTTCCGCCATGCCCCTGTACTCTGTAATATTGTCTGACTGTTAAGCAGGCCTTCGGTAATCTCGGATTACTGGCCGGTTACGGTGCTAAACCCATAGGGACGGGTTTGGGTCGTGACACTACCATCAACTAAAAGTTAAAACGGAAAGCATTGAAAAGATTGCTTTCAGAACCCGTTACGGGCACTACGAATTTCTCGTCATGACTTTTGGCGTCACAAATGCCCCAGCAGCCTTCATGGACCTCATGAACAGAGTGTTCAAACCTTATCTTGATGAGTTCATCATCGTCTTCATTGATGAAATCCTCATATACTCCAAGTCACCAGAAACCCATGAACAACACTTGCGAATGGTTCTACAAACACTACGTGATCATAAACTTTATACCAAGTTGAAGAAATGCGAATTCTGGATCACTAGTGTACACTTTCTCGGCCACGTCATTAATAAAGATGGCATATCGGTTGACCCCCAAAAAGTTACAGCAATCGTGGACTGGCCACGACCTACTAATGTGCCAGAAATCCGAAGTTTCTTGGGTCTAGCTGGCTATTATCGACGCTTCGTGCAAGATTTCTCAAAGATAGCATCGCCCTTGACCTAGCTAACTCAGAAGAACACACCCTTTGAGTGGACTGATAAACAGGAGCGTTGCTTTCAAGAATTAAAAGGTCGACTTGTGTCAGCCCCTATACTAGCACTCCCTACCGGAGCAGATGGGTTCGTAATCTATAGTGATGCCTCATACAATGGGTTGGGTTGCGTTCTCATGCAAGACAGAAAATTCATTGCTTATGCATCACGACAATTAAAGACTCACGAGAAAAACTACCCGACGCACGATTTGGAATTGGCTGCAGTGATCTTTGCTCTCAAAATCTGGCGTCATTATCTCTACGGTACAACTTGCGAGATTTATACTGACTACAAGAGTCTAAAATATCTATTCACACAGAAGGAACTAAATATGAGGCAACGGCAGTGATTAGAATCTATGAAAGACTACGATATAGAGATCCATCACCATCCGAGCAAAGCTAACGTGGTGGCAGACGCACTGAGCCGAAAGTCGACGAGAAGTTTGGCATGCACTCTTGTTTCCCGCAAGGTCAATGGGTTGCTCGCCAATGTAACCGTGGAGCCTACATTGATTGGAGAAATTAAAGCACGCCAATGGGAAGATAAACTCTTGAAGAAAAGGTACGAGGAACAAGGAAACACGCCTGATCCTGATTTCATTATAAGCAATGGGATACTGAAATTTCGAAATCGAATTTGCATACCCGACATCCCAGAACTCAAGAAGAAGATACTGGAAGAAGCTCATAACTCGAGATTTGTAAGAGAGATTTCTGACACAATGCAATATGAATTGTAAAAAAAATAAAATATAAAAAATGTGTAATGTTGGCAGTTCATATAAATATAAAT